AGAATAACTAATGACATTACAAAAATACAAAGGATTAGAAGAGAATATTGGATAAATTTCTAGAAATACAATTCTCCAAAACTGAACCAGGAAGAAATAGAAAATCTGAACAGACCAATTACTAGTAATAAAATTCAATCAGTAATAATAAAAACTCCCAACAAAAGTCAGAACCAGGCCGGCATTACCCTGATACCAAAACCACATAAAGACACTACAAAGAAAACTAACAGGCCAATATTTCTAGTGAATATAGATGCAAAAATACTTAACATTATTAGCAAACTGATATCAACAAGACATTAAAAAGATCATTCAACAATCGAGTGGGATTTATTCCAGGTATGCAACAGTGGTTCAAAATTCGCAAATCAAGCAACATGATACATCACATCGACATGATACAAGGGAAAGGATAAAAACCATATGATCATCTCTATAGATGTAGGAAAAACATCTGACAAAATATAACATCCATTCATGATTAAAAACTCTCAACAAAGTAGGAAACATCCCTCAACATATGAAAAGCCCACAGCTAACATCATACTCAATGGTAAAAAACTGAAAGATTGTCTTTAAGATCAAGAAGTAGACAAGGATGTCCACTCTTACCACTTTTATTCAACATAATACTGAAGTCCTACTTGCCTACTTGCGTCAATTAGACAGGAAATAAAATCATCCAAATTGATAAGGAAGAAGTAAAACTTTCACTATTAGCAGATGACATGATACTGTATGTAGAAAACCATTAAGATTTTACCAAAAAATGATCAAAGTAAGTGAATTCAGTAAACTTGCAGGATACAAAACTAATTACAGAAATCTGTTGCATTTCTATACACTTATAATGAAGTAGCAGAATGAGAAGTTAAGAAAACAATCCCACTGACAATTATGCCAAAAAGAATAAAATACCTAGGAATAGATTTCACCAAGGAGGTGAAATACTTAAACTCTGAAATCTATAAGATACTGATGAAAGAAATTGAAGACAACACAAACAAATGGAAAGGTATACCATGTTTAGGAACTGGAAGAATTAATATTGTTAAAATGTTCATACTGCCCAAAGCAATCTACAGATTTAATGTAATCTCTATCAAAATACCAATAGTATTTTTCACAAAACTAGAACAAACAACCCTAAATTTGTATGGAACCACAAAGAGCCAAAGCAATTTTGACAAAGAAAAACAAAACTAGAAGTATCACAATTCCAGGTTTCAAGATATACTATAAAGCCACAGTAATCAAAACAGCATGGTACTTGCACAGAAATAGACACATAGATCATTGGAACAGAGAACCCAGAAATAAACCCACACCTAAATGGTCAATTAATCTATGACAAAGTCAAAACTTTACAATGAGGAAAGGCAGTTTCTTCAACAAATGAAAGCTGGACAGTTACATACAAGAAGGAAACTGGACCACTTTCTTACACCATACACAAAAATAAACTCAAAATGGACTGAAGACCTAAATGTGACACCCAAAACCATAAAACTCCTAAAAGAAAGCACAGGCAATATGTTTTAGACACTGCTTTTCGCAACATATTTATGAATATATCTCCTGAGGCAAGGGAAACAAAAACAAAAATAAACTTTTGGGACTACACCAATATAAAAAGATTTTACACAGCAAAGAAAAACATCAACGAGACAAAAAGGCAACCTACTGAATGGGAGAAGATATTTAAAAATGATTTCTCAGATAAGGAATAAATATCCAAAATATATAAAGGACTCTTACAACTCAACACACAAAAAAATTCAATCTGATTAAAATTGGGCAGAGGCCTGAATGGACATTTCTCCAAAGAAAATATATAGGTGGCAAACAGACACATGAAAATATACTCAACATCACTCATTATCAGGGAAATGCAAATCGAAACAACAATGAAATATCACCTTATACCTGTCAAAATGGCTAAAATAAAAAGACAGGAAATAACAAGTGTCGGCGAGGAGGTGGAGAAAAGAGAACCCTCACACTGCTGGTGTGAATGTAAATTGGTGCAACCACTATGGAAAACAGTATGGAGGCTCTTCAAAAAATTCAAAATAGAAATACCACATAATCCAATAATTCTACTATTTGGTATTTACCCAAAGAAAATGAAAATACTAAGTGGAGAAGATATACACACCTTTTGTTCACTGCAGCAATTAACTAACATATGGAAGCAATCTAAGTGTCCATCAATAGATGAATATAGAAGAAAGATGTGGTGTGGTATGGAATGGAATGGAATGGAGTATTACTGAGCTATTATAAAAAAGAAGATCTTGCCATTTGCAACAACATGGATGGACCTAAAGGGTACTATAGTAAATAAAAGTAAATAAAATAAGTAAGGCAGAGAAAGACACATACACTTATATGTGAATGTAGAAAAACAAAACAAAGAAAACAGACTCAGATATCCAGAGAACTGGTGGTTTTCAGAGGTGGGGAATGGGCAAATGGGTGAATTAGGTGAAGGGGATTAAGAGGTATAAACTTCTCGTCATAAAATAAATAAATCGTGGAGATGAAAAGTACAGCACATGGGGTACAGTCAATAATACTGTAATAACGTTGAATGGTTATAGATGTGCTAACAACAGTTTTTGTGGTAAGCATTAGCTAATGTGTAGAATTGTCCAATCACTATGTTGTGCATCTGAAACTAATATAATATTGAGTATCAACTATACGGAAATAATAAAAAAAAATTTTTTTTAAATGCTTATTCGATGATGGGCAAATCTTTGTGCTCAGAAGATATTCACTGACGATCCATCCATAGGTGAATCTATGGCTTCATGCATCCATGAAGAAAATGGATTTCAGAAATTTGTACTTAAGGTTATCTGAGCTTGCCTCTCTTGGAGTAGTTGACTTTGTTTACTGTGCAAATGCCCCTCTCTCTCTACATCACACTTGCCTGACAGGAACCCCATATTGGGCTACAGCCACCTCTGGCCTACTCCATGCCCACACCCAGACAGCTCGGCACGACTGGTCCTCCTTGAAATTCACGAGCCCAGATCTTCAAGGGGCCTGCAGCGGCGCACAATGCCAGGTCCATGCATCCCCCACACTTCCAACACCTCCGCTCTTCTCCTTCTCCGACCTGATGACTTTGTCTCTTTCACTGAGAGCACAGAAGCAGGGAGAATTTCCAGGGGCTCCCGCCAGGATATCCAGCCCCCTATCAGCAACTATGCCATTGCTTGTCTGCCCTCCCTCCAGGTGAACTCCTCACATTCCTGTCTAAAAGCAGCTCCTAGATTGATCCTATTCTCTTGCTTACTCAAAGATAGGAACTCCAACAATTCTTCCTTTGCTTTCCTGTAAGTCCTACTTTGCCCCTCTCGACTGGATTTTTCTCAGCACCACATAAATATGCTGTTAAATCTCCCAGCCTAAAAATACAACAGAAAACAAACTCTCTTTCAACCCTATGCTCACCCATCCTGTAGCTATGGCCCCTTGTTTTCTGTTGATCCTCGTGTGCAGGATGGTTTAGTGTTGATCTGGCTGTATTTCATGGATGTGAGACACACAAAAAAACTTCCATGCTGTTCTGCCATCTTGGCTCCTCCGCCCCTTCTTTCTTATACTCCCCTTTACAGCTAAATTCCTTGAAAGAGATGGAATGTCTATTTCTCTTTTCCCAGTCTCTCCCAACATATTCCGCTCAGGCTTTTGCCTGCAATGTGCCAGTGAGATAGCTCTTGACAAGCTCTCCAATGACTTCTGACAGCCTAAATCAAATGGTCAGTCTCAGGCCTCTTCACACACAATTCTCCAGCAGCACTGGATACAGCCAAGCCTCATCCTTAAAACACCTTCTTTTCTTATATCTTCAACCTCTAAAGTTACAAGTGTAGCAGGACTCTCTCAATACAGACCTTCTTTTCTCTATCTACACATTCTCTGTGATGTCATCCACTTTTGTGGCTTTAAATACTACACATGTGGTAGTTTAGTAGAATTTAGAATGCCCCAAATCAAGCTAATTTCTTCCCAGATCTGTTGCTCCTGCAGCCTTCCCCAGTCAGTAAATGAAGACTCTGTCCTTCCAGTTACTCAGGCCAAAGTTATAAGACTTTTCTCATTCTCCGTGACTTTTTTCTCCGTGACTTTTCTCATTCTCAGATATACCCACATCAACAAATAGGGTTGGTCTAACTTCAAAATATATAAAGAATCCAAACACTTTTCACCACCTCCATGGCTACCACCTGGTCCAAGGCACCCCCAGACCTTGCCTAGATTTTTGCAATACTTTGCTGGTCTCCCTGACTCCGCTCTTGTCTCTGTGTGGTCTGGTGTCAACATAGCAGCCACAATGATGGTATTGTAAGTCAGGTTGGGCTAAAAACCTCTGAAGAGTAAAATACAAGGTCCTTCCACTGGCCTGCGAAGCCTTACAGGAACTGGTCCTCTCCATTTGATTTCATTTCCCAGTACCCTCCCCTTGCTGACTCTGTTCCAGCCACAGTAGCCTCACTGCTATTTCTCCAACCCATCAGCCACATTGATGCTTCAGTTCCCTGCCTGAAAAAAATCTTCCCTTGTGGAGGCTTGGCTCACTCACTTCTCCCAGGCCTCTGCCCCACCGTCACCCTGCTCAAATTAGAGGGGCCTTATTTTAGACAATATAAGTAGTAATTCTAACAACACCTTGCATTCCCTTCTCCCTTACTTTTTTCTATAGCAATTACTACCACCTTTTGACACATATTAATTATTTATTAGTTCACCATCTTTTGTCTTCTCTCACTAGAGTTTCAATGAGGGCAGCTACACTGTGTTTTTTCTTCACTGCTATGTCCACAGTCTCTAAAACTATACCTGGCCCATTGCAGGCACAGAAATATTTATTGAATGAATGAAACTGTTGGCATAAAATTAGAAATTCACATTAATTTAGTTTTAGAAAACTGCATTGGTTGTATCTCTTATGACATAAAAATGACTTTCAGTGTTTTTCTTACCCATTGGTTAACACTGCTGAGCTGTGCCATGTAGTAATGTAAAAACTGGGTTGTCTTTTCCCACATCACATAAGAGCCACCAAGAAAAGCCAAATCCCAAATGGGTCTCAGAGAGGGATCAATATGTCCATGGCTATCTGAGAGAAAGAAAACGAAAACACATTTGTGTTATGACATTTTGGGGACAAAATTTCAAATGTTTCAATACTGAAATAGGGGCGTAACCTTAAGTCACATCCGTCATCTCTTAGAGCAAGACCTTGAGCTGGACACATGACTTGTTCTTACCTGTTTCCACATCATATGAAGATTTATGTGCTTTAATTTGTCCTACTGAGTAAAGCTACTATAAAAATCTTATTTGCTGTACTATATTAATGTACTATATTAGTACACCAGTATAGTATACTAGTACAAATGTATGATATTAAGGCAAAGTAAGAGCTATAATGATACTCAAAGTTGAAGTCTTGTTAGTTGAGAAGCATCTTTAAATTAGATGGAAAAGTCTATCAATTATTTTTGCTACCTTACCTTCTGTCTGGGTCTACAGTCAATGCGATGGTCTTTGCCAATCTCCAAATATCTTTATCTGATCATTGGCTTTAAAGCTAATCAATGAATTGGTAGTATTTCTGTCAGTGATTTTGAACACATGCAGAAATCAAGAGGGTTTTTTCTGTGGTATTGTTTTTGGAATTGCAATCTTTTTATTTCAGCAAACACTTATAAAAACCTACTTAACTACACTGCTTGAGGTGGGGTTAGTACATTACATTAACACATTACTTTTTGTGACTTTTAGGAACTCAAATTTTAGCAAGTGATTAATTTATGAGATAACTGCTCATGGACCAACATTTCATGAAAAATGGTGGAGATATTCTTGGCTTAAATATAAGCCCAATAATAGTATAATATGTAAGGAATAAGAACAAACTTACTAGGAAATTAATCCTTCTTGGTAAAATAATTAGCATAAATTCTTCTTTGTACTGTAGAACTTGGCTGGTTTGTAATGGTAATCAATTCAAAGATCATTCACAGACTGCAGGGGTGATGGGAGGGACACGAAGATGGGTCCCTACCCTCTACTTGTCGACAGTGCAGAAACACAGCTGATACCTTCCGCAAGAGAAGGAGGATCAAAGATCTGATAGAGCACATGGAAGGGAGAGGGACCTTTGGGCTGGAGAGATGTGGGGCAAACTTCACAGGGATGAGATTTGAGCTGAGCCCTGGATTCCTGTTGTGTATGTAGGGATGGGAGGGAGACAGTGAAAGCTTCCTTCATCCAGCTCCCCATCACATGATTCATCTTCCAGTGCCATTGTGAGTTCAACAAAACCCATTACTAGAAAGCAAGTCGGTTACCCCAAACACTGTGAACAGCGTGGACAATTGGAAGTACAAATGCTGGCAGTGCTACTATAGAATCACTCAGGTGACAGGACTCTGGCTGGTTGTCCCAGGTCTTCAGTCTTTTCCTTTGTAGAGTACTTGGGCTCATGTACAGGAAGTTTGTAAATTCATCAGAAAAAGTGAAAACTGTACTCATAAAAAAAAAAAAAACAAAAAACCACAAATACCTTTTTTGGGGAAAAATAGTTTGGAGCAAGGATATCCTGAAATGGATTTAGATAGCCTCACCTAGCAACTGTAGAGCAAGCTGGACTACAAAACCCCAACGTCCTGGAGGAGTAAATGCTGAATAGAAGCTGCTGGGATTTGAACTGGTTAATCCGAGGAGATTGCCACAGTTTTGACTGACTTTTGTCTAAAACCAAGCCTTTTCCATTTTAATAGTTTTACAGACAAGCTATAAATAGTGCCATCATATGCTTCTGCTGAATTTAAAATGACAACAGAGGGGCGCCTGGGTGGCTCAGTCAGTTGAGTGTTTGACTTCAGGTCATGATCTCACAGTTCATAGGTTCAAGCCCCATGTCGGGCTCTGTGTGGACAGCTCAGAGCCTACTTCAGATTCTGTTTTTCCCTCTCTCTCTGCCCCTCCCCCTGCTTGCTCATGCTCTGTCTGTCTCTCAAAAGTAAACATTAAAAATAATTTTAAAAATGCTAACAGAACTTGTAAATTCTGTTAATAAAAAGGTGCCCTCTATTAAAAAAATTTTTGGAGCTTCAAGCCACATTAAGTTACATTGTTACAGAATGATTCTTGTGGGCACATAGGACTTATTAACTGAACATAATGCAGTTTATCTGCACTATCATAAAGTATCCAGGGGCGCCTGGGTGGCTCAGTTGGTTAGGCATCCGACTTTGGCTCAGGTCATGATCTCACGGTTTGTGAGTTTCAGCCCCGAGTCAGGCTTGCTGCTGCTTCAGAGCCTCTGTTCCCCCCCCCCCTCTCTCTCTGCTCCTCCCCTAGTTGCACATGTGTGCCTGCGAGTGCACTTTCTCTCCCTCACAAAAATAAATAGTTCCAAAAAAGAAAAAGTGTCCAAAACCTAGTGATCCTATAGCAAATATTCAAAGAAAAGGTCCTATACAATTTCTAAAATTTGTGTTCTAAGGAAAATATATAAAATCTTATTTCCCCAGCCAATGCTAAAAGAGAAAAAAAAATCCCGAAATAACTGTAGATTTTAAGCATTAGTCATTAGCCCATTTATTTCAGACACTACTAAATACACACAAATTCTACCACGATATAAGATTTGAATTGTTCCTCATAATTCTTTGGAACAGAATTCAAGCGGAGTTGTCAGAGAATTACTATGAGAAACATCCTAAAGCTTCTGAATTTTAGAAAGGCAAGGAGCAGTATTCTGCCTGCAGGTTTTTTTTTTTTTTTTAATGTTTATTCATTTTTGAGAGACAGAGATAGACAGAGCATGAGCAGGGGAGGGGCAGAGAGAGAGGGAGACACAGAATCTAAAGCAGGCTCCAGGCTCTGAGCTGTCAGCACAACCCGGATGCGGGGCTCGAACCCACGGACTGTGAGATCATGACCTGCACTAAAGCCCGACGCTCAACCGACTGAGCCACCCAGGCGCCCCTGCCTGCAGGTTTTTAAGAACACTTGGTCTCCACAAATGGACAGAGCACGGACGCACTCAGGAGTGAAGACCTCCGGTCCTTCCACGTTGACACGGGTCTGTTGTAGTTGCTGGGCAAACGAGTGAGCTGCGAGAGAGTGTGGGATGGGGCGGGGGGCGGTGGGGAGCCGCGGTGCTAGAGTGGTCATATGTCGAGCTCAATACCCAAGCACAAGTCCAGAGATGACTTTTGTGGTTTGGAAAATTGGATTTTCCAGTAAGTGCAGTCTCAACGGCTGCCCACATGCTCTCCTGAGCTCCAGAACAAACGAGCTGTGCTTCAGCTGAGTCACTTCAGAGGGCAGGGCTCATTTCTTATTAAAGACGGCACCACTGCCCATTAGCTCTTGACCTAAAAGGAGATAAACCTGATTCCACTGCAGCCTCCAAGCAAGGCCCTGAGACAGGCTGGCTCTCCCAGCCCTGGTGTGGAAGTCTGTGATGGGCACAGTGGGGATCTGGAATGGTGTCTAATCACTTAAAGTTTCCAAAGCCGCTACCAGAAATCTTTAGAAACGTTGCCTCAGGCTTTGGGCTCAACTTGGAAAACTGCACCCCTACGTGCATATCCTAGTACAAAGACCTCTACCTTTTCTTTGAAGGTTCAGCTCTTGCTGAATCTTGCCTAGGATGGGAAGTGGGGAGATTAAAGGGGTACTGATAGCTCTTGAGGGCGTTACTATAGCTTCCTGGAGACAAAGAATAGGAAAAGGATACCTCTGCATTTTGTTTCAGTAACAAGGTCTACCACATTCTGAGTTCAAGTGCCATTATGGGGATAAAAATTTAAATGATCATTCTTTTTCTTTTTAATTTTTTTTTATGTTTTTATTTATTTTTGAGACAGAGAGAGACAGAGCGTGAGCAGGGGAGGGGCAGAGAGAGAGAGAGGGAGACACAGAATCCGAAACAGGCTCCAGGCTCTGAGCTGTCACACAGAGCCCGACACGGGGCTCGAACTCAGACTGTGAGATCATGACCTGAGCCGAAGTTGGATGCCCAACCGACTGAGCCACCCAGGCGCCCCATAAATAATCATTCTTTTTAAGATTTAGCAATTATATATATTCCTTAATATAGAAATTCCAGACACTGATTCATACCAGGCATGCTGACTACATCCAAGGGGGTTTTGAGTTGCTTCATGTGCTTGTAAAGCAGGTAATCCTCCTGTTGTCTTTTGTTCTTCTCAATGAGTCGTGTACAAGTCACATTAATGGCCGGTCTGGGTTTCTGATTCCTGAAAAACACTCGAGCGGAACATTTCCCCAAACGTTCCTCACCGTCCTGAAATAAAGATTTTGCAATTAAACACAATGGCTACTGATCCCTCCCCACCCACTCCAATACACAGATACACAAAAGACTGAGAAATTCCCTATATGTGGCAGGATGCATTGGCATTAATAGATGCAGGAGTCTTGGCTTTGTAGAAAGTGATTTGTGTGCTCACAACTGAATACAACAGTCCTTCACTATTTGCTGTTATTTAAAGTGCTTTCTGACAACCCCCTTATATAATCATGCTGGGCTTACTCCAAAGAAATATCACTGATGTCTATTGAGTACTGCTTGGTTCAAAACTCAAGGTTCTCTACCATGGACCAACAAAATGCTTAGCTGGACCTCAAGCTTGCTAACTCAAACTAAAAGATAACGCTGTCCCCATTAACAAAAATGACAACAGCCTCATACTGCTTTATGAAGTCGGTCCTCCTATTCCAATTTTACAGAGCGAGACACTGAATCTAAAGAGGAATTTACTCCATGTCTCACAGCTAGTAAACGGTAAGCCAGGAATTGAGCTCCTGTCTGTCTGATGCCAGAGCCCTGCCTCTATACTAATTCCATCTCTCTACTCCAGGATCTCATCTGAAAGGAATGTAGGCAGATGCCACCCAAATGGGACTAATTCAAGGGATGTTTTTTGCATTCACATTTAAATGCAGACATCTGAGTATTCTGGGATCATCCTCACTTGGTTTCCAATCCAGAGACATCTGGATCTGGACAACTGGGTGCTGTAAGTAAACATCAAATGTAGGACTCAACTGTCAGACAGTCCTTCTCCATCCTTACAGGTCACAGATTCCTTACCCCAACAACAAAAAAGCCAGGAACCTATTCCCAGAAAATTGCATGTATGCTCGGAGCATCAACACTGGGCCTAGAATTTGAGGAAGTTTGTGGCCACTCGTCATGGCCCCACCCAGACCCATCCATGGGCCCCTAGTTAAGAACTCCTGTTACAGAGTGCTTGGTTGAGCAGTTCACCTCTTTGTACTTTTACAGTTGTTTACACTGGATGGTCGTTTAACCTGGATGGTAACAACCAAAAAAGAAACGCCCAAAACTATTTTGGTTTCAACCAAAAAAGAAACAAAAAAGCACAAACAAATTTCAATCAAAATTGGATCTGCTTAATAAGCCCATTTCTAGCACAGTGCTAACTCAAAAAAACTGAGGTGTGCTTTCCAGTGGTTGACTCCCCTCTCCCCCACCCTGAATCCCCTGAGTGCTAGTTTGAATGAGAAGGAGCTTTGGTGGTACATTAAAATCTGAATTATCGGCACAACATAGAAAAAAGGTGAAGGGGGCATCTGGAAGAGGCTTATGGAAGGCAGAAGAAGAGAGGGCTGGCACACAGTCTCCTTTGATGTCTAAGCCGTTTCCAGGGAAGAGAAAAGGAACCAGTTTTGTTTTCTTTTTACTTTCCTTTTTGTCCCCTCAAAACAGCTCCACAGCTGAATCAAAGCAAAGCACTCTCATCCTCTGAAATGGAACATTTCAATTAGCTAGCTATGCTCTTTACAGAAACCTATTGCCGGTCAAAATGATCTAGGAAATGTTTTCCCTTTAGCTTTAATCTAACTTGCAGTTCGCAATGCTAGGATCAAAGGGGTCTTCTTTAAGCTTTAAGAAAATGCTTAATTCTTAGGTGAAGTAGCAAAGTCAGAATACATTGTTATTTTGTTACAACTTGTCTCTATAGACTGGTAAGCATTCCTCCAGAAGACTCAGTCTGGGTTGCGAGGTGGGGGTCCTGCCCCCCGCCCAACCCCCAGGAAGGAAGCTCTGCCCCCCTGAGACACTTGAATGTGATGCCGCCTGCGCTGACTCAGCACCACACAGAGAGCATCTGGGCTGGTCTTCTCTCCACCCATGTTCCAGCTGCTGACGTCCAGCTTGGCCCAGCACATGGAAGTTCATCTGGCTCTAATTTCTGTGTGAGTCTTCTGTTTACTCCCTTCCCAAGAATGGACGGGTAAAGGAAACTTGGCAAACCATGGCCTGCTCGGTCAGGATTGTAAGGACTAATAATGCCTGTGGCATACGTTGGTACTGCTCTGTGTTTTACAGAAGACTTCTGTATGGAAGCTCCTGGGTTGGCCTCGTGCTAAGTCGGCCCGCTAACAAGAAATGTCACCAGCTGACAGGAGGAAGGCAGGTTGACATTTGAGAGTGAGTCATTCTAAGCATTCAGAGGTGCTAGAAGAGACACCAAGGGGACTGTGAAATTTCCTCCCAGGGGCAAAGGAAGGAGGTGATGGTGGCTCTGTGGGCTGTTTTAAAAGTAGCCCTGCATAAGGCCATGATGTCGAAGGCCTTAAATACTGAGTTCCTGCCCAGCTCCGTTCTCCAGTTCTGGAGAATAGAAAACGAAGCAGAACAAAACAAATGCAAACCTCTGGGTCACTATATATTCAGATTTTCACCTTTTGTTTTTTAAAAATTTTTTAACATTTATTTTTGAGAGAGGGACAGAGTGAGCTGGGGGAGGGGCAGAGAGAGAGGGAGATACGGAATCCAAAGGCGGCTCCAGGCTCTGAGTTGTCAGCACAGAACCCGACGTGGGGCTCGAACTCAGGAGCTGTGAGATCATGGCCTGAGCCAAAGTCAGATGCTCAACCGACTGAGCCACCCAGGCACCCCCAGATTTTCCCCCTTAAAAAAAATAAATCCATAGGAGTTGCTAATTGGATACTTCACCAATTATGGCAGCTTACCTCTGGGTTATAGCGATCTGTGGTAAACACCAGGTCAACCTGACATTCCTTCTTTGGATTAACCTGAAACATAGAAACCGAATCTTAGCCTGTTAGAAGTTCTGTTAACATCTTCCTATCCAAGAATCACTCTCTTGGGATACCATGGCATGCAAATGGCAGCTATAGCATTTATACTGGAATAAAATCAATGACTTTTTAGAAGGAGAGAATATCTCAAATTTTGGTCTCATCATGACACTCTCCTTGGTAGTTTGACACCTACAAAGGGAGGTTGAGAAAGGGAAATGGTTGTACTGAGGCAGCCAGGTGACTTTGTGAGAGCAGCTAGATGAGAAACAGACGCGTGCATGCGGGTTGGGGGTGAGCACCTCTCCACGGCCTTCCCTGGGCGCAGGGCTGCGGCTGTGAGGCAGGTGGGGGCGGCAGGGGTGGTCAACAGGGGAGCCAGGAACAAGGGTGTACCCAGTAATAAATAAGGGGTTTTCTGATGGCGAGAAGTGAAGACAGAGAGGTGGGGCAGGAGTGGCTACTTTCTCTAAGGCTGCTGAGGAGCTGCCCTGAAGGGGGCCTCAGCTGAGCTGGAAGGGACAGCAGGGAAGCAGCCGCCCCCAGACCCAGCGGCAGACAGGACCTGCCAGCGAGTCAGGAAGTCTGGGACAGGATGGAGTACCGACCCTGACGCTGAAGAAGTCCTCAGCTTTATGCCCTCTCCTTCCCCCAGCAGCTTTCACCAGCAGGCACACTTCTAAACTTTGGGAATGCCTGTTTAGCCTTTTAGACTTTGTAATCACTTCCAATGCCTATTTTTAGAGTATACAAAGCCATATCACTGAGGCAATGTAAACGGTTTAGAAGAGCTTTATGCTATTTGCCATTAACCTTTTTTTTTTTTTTTCAGAGAAAAATGATCATTCAGTACAAGGAATATTTTCTAGAGGATATTTCTGCTGCATGGAGCTGAAGTTATTTCATATAGTCTTAAGGTAGACTTTGGAAACATTGATTTCCTTTGAATCTTAGCCCAGGAACACAACAACCAAACAGGACTATGATTTTAAATAGGCAGATATCACCCACTCCTAGTTCAGATCCTTAAAAAATTCTAGAAAGCTGGAGAATGGAGGGATAGGATTCTCTGGCAACTGTTTGTGTAAAGAATATTTAAACATGTGAATGTATAGATGTTCCTGGGGCAGAGGGAGCCCCAAGAGCACTACACAGGGGCAGTTTTTTTAGGGCTCATTTTCAACCTTGAAAAAGTTCTGGTGTAAGTTGAAATATTGATTTCAGTTTACAGAATTCATACACACAAATTTATCTTCACTCTCTTTCACTGTTTGCCGCAGACCATGCCAATCACAGGGTGGGGGTGGAGTGGGGAATGGGATACAAAGAAATACAACATCCAGTCCAGCCTTACCAGAGACCTACTTCTTGTGTGGGAACAGGCAAGTCAAGAGAGACATAGAGTGCTCATCAGTGTGGCTGACAGCTGCACAGGTGCAGGGTGCTAAGTGCGGAAGGCTTTCTATGGAGAGTAGGGCCTGAACCAGTTCTTTGAGGAAGAGGTACTGACCAGGCAAGGGTGTGGGAACAGAATATAGGGGCTGGCATTCCAGGGGAGGCAATGAAGCTAGAAAAAAGGCTGTGTGGGAGGTTGGCACAAGGTCATGGAAAGCCTTCCTTTTTTTTTTTTTTTTTTTTTTGAGAGAGAGGGAGACAGAGAGCATGCAAGCAGAGGAGGGGCAGAGAGAGAAGGAGAGAGAGAGAATCCCAAGCAGGCTCCATGCTACCAGCACAGAGCCTGATGCAGGGCTCCAACCCATGAATCGTGAGGTCATGACCTGAGTCAAACTCCAAGAGTTGGATGCCTAGCTGATTGAGCCACCCAGGCATCCCTCACTTCTTTTTTATTTTTTTTAAATGAAGAGAATTTGGAACTTCATCCTGAACTTGGGGGTGTCCCAGTAAACATAGCTACAGTAGTTAGAGCGTTGGGAAGCCTAAGATAGGGTATTAGAAGGGCTTAGTGCCTGGGTCAGGGTAAAAGTTTAGTGTATGTTCACTTATCGTTAGTAAAATCTATAGACATGAAGGAGAGAAAAAAATCTGTGCTAGAAACGAGAGTCTGGCCACATTCCAGGCTACGGAAGAATGTCAACACGGTCTCAAGGTTGCTTTTACTTTGGTTTACTCCTGCCTGGAGCTCCCGGTCTCCATAACTCCAGAAGTTTGGGGTCTTTGCTGCCCAAGTTAAAGAAACACAGGGAACTGTGGGCTTGCTGCCTGTGACTCCCATACCACACCGGCACCCACAAAGAACCAGTCCTCACAGAAGGCAGCACCTCTGCTTGCCAGCAGGTCCTACGCCTTGAATCATTTGTTGCACCAGCCCTGGGGCCCTCTCCCCAGCTACATGGGGGACCTTTCATCTGCACAGAGGCCCCCTGAGTGCAGCCCTCCTGCACAGGAGTCAGGGACCCCCTCAGGCTGCTAGTGGGGAGATGGGTGGGATGGGCAGTGAGACCATTCATGAGAAAAGCAGGAGGAGGCAGAGTTGACAGGTACAACCTTTGGTGCCCAGGAACATGGGAGAGGAGTCCGAGGGCAGCTGAATGTTACAGAGGTAGATTCAGTGGAGGTAGAGTGGGTGCAGCCAGGGAATTGGATGCAAACCCCCAGGGGAGACATACGTGTACATAGAGAAGAATCCTGAGGACCACCAACCTTCAGATCAATAATACATTAGGGCATGCTTATTCACCATACACAAGGATTCACAAAGGTCTTTCTTATCCTTGACACAACTGTGCAGATTTTAAATAAACTACCCAAGATAGTATTTGAAAACAATTTTTTTTTTGAAAACACATGGGGGCAAAGTGAGGTACATACTCTTTGTAGGGAAAGAAACAACTTGATTAACAAAGGCTGCGAGCTGAGTCAGAATGGAGCCTGTCCATTTGAAGAGTTATTTTCCTTGCTGATTTGATTTCCTTAGTTTGTTTTAATGAGGCACTCTTAAAAGCATCTACGTTTTGTCCAAAATAAGATTTAAAAAAAATTTTTTTTTCAACGTTTTTTATTTATTTTTGGGACAGAGAGAGGCAGAGCATGAACAGGGGAGGGGCAGAGAGAGAGGGAGACACAGAATCGGAAACAGGCTCCAGGCTCCGAGCCATCAGCCCAGAGCCTGACGCGGGGCTCGAACTCACGGACCGCGAGATCGTGACCTGGCTGAAGTGGGACGCTTAACCGACTGCGCCACCCAGGCGCCCCCAAAATAAGATTTTTATATTTTGGGTTGGACTTTATCATTTATCAAGACGCAGCACTTTTATCTCCCAAAAAGGCCTCTCCCTCCTCTCTTGATGAGTCACGAGCTCCTCTGAGGTAGCTTTGCCGGTCCTCGTGAGATAAGGTCTATGGGCACCAGCAGCAGGAGCCAGTGCCTTCTCTATCTGGGACAGTGTCTCGTGCTCCTCTGGCCTGGCTGCTGCAGGATTGTGTTTCACTCTGGCTGTTTTATTTTTTTGAGAGAGAGGGCACAAGTGAGTGAGGGGCAGAGAGAGAGAGAGAGAGAGAGAGAGAGAGAGAGAGAATTGGTGCTTACCCAAAGCGGGGCTTCTGCGTTACCTGCAGCAGGACTCAAACTCATGAACCGTGAGATCATGACCTGAGCTAAAGTCAGATGTTAATGACTGAGCCACCCAGGTACCCTTTTATTTTTTAAAATATCTTATGTTTTAGGGGCACCTGGGTGGCTCAGTTGGTTAAGCATCCAACTTTTGACTCAGGTCATTATCTCATGTTTCATGGGTTTGACCCCCATGTCGGGCTCTGTGCTGACAGCTCAGAGCCTGGCGCCTGCTTTGGGTTCTGTGTCTCCCTCTCTCTCTCTGCACCTCCCCCACTCATGTTCTGTCTCTCTCATTCTCTCAAAAATAAATAAAAACATTAAAAAATAAATAAAAATGTTAAGTCCAAAGTAACACAGTATGGATGTCCTCACCCCATATCTGAAACTTAGGTCTTTGTTTTTCACAGTTAGTGGGATTAGATTTGAGGAGTGTGGTAAACTCACTATATGTGGTTTCAAATTTAGAAGTTCTGTTCCCGGCATGGAGCCAACCTCTTCAGGTTGGGTGGTCCTCCCTCTGCAGCTGGCACAAGGGTTGCTACAGCCACATGGTGCAAAGCTAATCCATTCATTCACAGCTATTAAAAAAAAAAGAAAAAGCTAAATAGATATTTTTTGAAAGAGCCCAACCTAAAACCGGGACAACAGTTCTGGCTTTTCTGAGGGAAGAAGTGTTCCTGGAATAGCAGGTCACAGTGTTCATACCCTTACGTCCCGACATTGCCCACGTGTCCAAATAGGAGACACATTAGGAAGTTTTATATCTGTTTCTTAAAGCACAGCAAGAGGTACAACACATTGTTCTAATATTTTCTGGAATATTCTTTCTTTCATGAAAAGTCAGCAAACAAAGCAAATGACCATGTGACTGTATAACCTGAATGAATTAGCAGCTCTTTGCTACAGATTTCTTTTTAATTATGTATAAAGGAGGATTTATGGGCTATAGCCTGGAACAAAATGCTTTATAATCAGGGATGACTAATGACATGGATTATATCTAATCTGGTGTGTGTGTGTGTGTGTGTGTGTGTGTGTGTGTGTGTGTGTTATTTCCTAGGTTTCTTGGTTTTGTCCCCTCTGGCCACGAGGAAAGGCAGCCACCTCCCATGTGTACTTTCCACATGCTGAGCCTCACAAGGGCTCTTTAGGGGAATGATTAGCACTTTGATTTTGGGCTTCCCTTTCAGTAGGGAGGGAAACAGGCTGCTTTTAAAGTCCTGTTTGAGAAAGCGTACAAAGGAAAGTATACAAAGGATGACTGAACTCAGCACACTAGGCTTTTGGGGGCAGGGTAAGAGAAATGCTCCTCGAATCCTTACCCAATCAGTATCAAGTACTCGCATGTGAAGCACCCTGCTAAGCCACCAGGAAAGGACAATGATAAAGCTATAATATATACAATGAGCTCTCACTACAT